GAGCGCATCGGCCGCATCAACCGCCTCCTCCTCGACGCCTATCTCGGCGGGTTCTTCCTGCTGCCCAACCTCTGCGGCCCCATCTACGTGTGCTGGTGGCTGAACCCGCACAACCGGCAGCTCGACGAGCTCGCACACCTTTATGGCTTCTGGATCGGTGTGTGGCATGTCCCTCTGCTTCTTAGTCTGAGTCTGAAGCTGATTCTGCCCGGCGTATTTGGGTTGCCTGTCTGGGTTGTTGGGAAGGTCTCGGAGGGCGTGTGGTGGGCTGCTGACATTTTGCAGGAAGGCCCGGCTGCGTTTATCCAAGGGTCATTGAGGCGCTTGAGGGAGTTTCTGCTCGCCGCGCCGAAAACGATATGCGACGGGGTCGACCGCAAGGTGCTAAGGTCGGAGAGTAAGTATTTGGTGTTTGCGGTGTGGTTGGCCATGGCCGGGTACTGCGTCATCCTTTACGCCATCTTTGTCGAGACGTATCGGGCGTATTTGCAGAGAGCTGTGGCGCGCGTGCTTTCCAGCTTGCTTATGGACATCGGGGACCAGATCTTTGCCGTTGGCTATTGGCTGGAACGACTGGTGGTCGAGAAGGGGTTCTGTGGGGGAACGAAGAGGTGGCAGACCGTCAGCTGGATCGAATGAAGTGTCATTCGATTGTGAGTATTCTTCCATTCAACCTCGATGAGGTTGATGTAGAGCTTTGCACTCCGGGCCCGTTATCATCGTCTCTGTCATCTTCGTCCCTCGCCCGCCCGGATAAACTCCTAAGATTAGCCCGTAAACCTTTCGCGACGCATCTGGTGTCAGATTGTAACTTGATGTAGCAAATGAGTAGATCAAGCAAGTCTTTTTAGTATCCCTGGGTATACAACTCCAGTCCCTATTGGGGAAAATACAAGAGTAGTAGGCGCTTCTCGAGGGAAGCATGCCATGTCTAGGACACACAATCCAATCCTTGCGGCCATCCATCTTTCAAACCAGCCAATGCCGCGCTCGGGCACGTCTAAGCAAATATCAAGTCTCGCTATCCACACACACTCTTTATATCTAGAGACATCCGCTCGAAATCCTTAGCCGTACTCCAAGCCCATAGTAAAACAATGTCGGACTCTCGACAGGGACGAGTAGTCGTAAATCGGTTGAGCATGATGTCCTCTCTTAAATCAAATCATGCATTGGCCTGGCCGGCAATCGTGATGCCATCAGTGCCAGTCTCGATGACCTTGTAGCCATCGGCGTTGCCGGAGCCCTCGGCGGCTCGGTCATATGCTGCGTCGCTCCTGTCCAGATGTTAGCACGATCTTTATTACCAAAGACCGGGGATTATCTTACCTATCGCAAAGAACATCAAGATCTTTGTCGCTCAGAATCTCGTGAGAGCCTGAGTACTTGAAAACTTGGCCATCCTTGAGCAGCAATGTCTTGAGAGTCTTCTCGTCAAGATCTTCCTTCAGGTCCATCTTTTGGCCCATGGACTTGAAGTTCCCCTTCTTGATGACCAGCTTCTCAAGACGACGCTTGGCGTCTGCACTCAGCAACAGCTCCTCCTCCACGGTTCCCTTGGTCGCAAGGCGGTAGACAATGACAGGGCGGGTCTGGCCAATGCGATGGCATCGGTCCTGGGCTTGGAGATCCTGCTGAGGGTTCCAATCGGAGTCAAAGAGGATGACAGTGTCGGCACTGGCAAGGTTGATGCCCTGGCCACCTGCGCGAGTCGAAAGCAGGAAGATTCTGAACTCGGGGTTCTCGTTGAATTCTTTGATCTGGTCGCGACGGCTTTCCTGGCTGACTGAACCATCAAGGCGGCAGACGTTCCACTTGCGCAACTCGCAGTAGTCTTGGAGAATGTCCAGTTGCGTCTTGAACTGGGAGAAAATCAAGACCTTGTGGTCTTTCTCAAACAGCGTAGGGAGAAGTCTGTCAAGAAGCAACATCTTTCCAGAAGCCGTGACGATGCTCTCGTCGACAGGAGGTGCGCCTTCATAGCTCCAGGGGTCGAAGAAGTTGTGCGGGCTGTTGCAGACCAGACGCAGCTGCATGATTGGGTTGCCCAACTTCTTGGTCGCCAGTTCTTTCTTCGCGTGCTCGGTGATGCTCTTCTTGTACTGGTCTTCCACAGACAAGACGACATCATCTACATCCTTCTCGTCTTCTTCGGCCTCTTTGACCAATCGAGCCTCGAACTCGTCGTCGGAGAGCTTATCCTCATCGTCGGCGTCAGTTTCGGCGTAACGGCGGCGACCTCTGGTGACGCGGCCTCGACTGGTGACAGAGGGGGTCGATTGACGCGATGACTTTGCGCTTTTTGGCTCTGGGGTTTCGGCGGTTGGCGGATTCTTGCGCTTGGAACTTGAACGAGACGCGGTCTTAACGGGCGTCTCCTTAGCGACATCCTTTGGCTTGGTTGAAGAGCTTCTAGCCCTGTTCATCATCGCCGAAAACGCGTTCGTCTTCTTGGGTTCAGAAGCAGCCTCCGACTTGGCCTTCCTAGGGCTGTTGCGGATGGGGATCTCGAGCTTCTTTGCCGGCGTTTCCTCCTCTGTCTTGACGTTCGGACGGGCGCTTCCTTCGCGGGAGCTTGGCGTAGACTTGTTCACTGCGGTGAGACGCTCGACGACCTTGTTCTCGAGGAAAGTGCGGGTGTCGACCTTCTTATCCTGAATCGCGTTGTACATGTCCGTTTGCTCCTTTGTCATGGGAGCAAACAGGATGTATTCCCGCTTCTTGGGCAAGTAGGCGGCGACATCTGCCTTTACTCGACGAAGGAGAAGTGGTTGCAGGATGACGTGGATCTTCTTGATGATCTCCTGGTTTTTGCGGTCCGCGATGAATTCTTCCGTGCCTTCTTCGTCCCGTAGATCGTCGAAGTCAAACCAACTCTCAAAAACCTCCCATTCCTTGAAGATGCCCGGGAGCAAGAAGTGAAGCAGCGCCCACAGCTCTTTGAGATTGTTCTGCAGAGGCGTGCCAGTGATAAGCAATCTTGTGGCCGAGCGAAAGTTCTCGAGCTCCTGGAACAACTTCGACTCGAAGTTTTTCATGCGATGTCCTTCATCCTAGACAAGAGTTAGGAACTCAGACCTATCAGACCTGGTGAGCGCCAAGACGTACAATGATGATAAAGGCCCAGTTGAACTTGGAGAGGGCAGCCTTTTCTCGCAGTACCATCTCGTAGGAAGTGCAGACGACAGGAAATCGCTTCGTTGGCTGGTTCTTAACGTAGTGCTTGGCGATCTGGTCCTTCATCACACGTTCTCGATTCTTAGGGTCGCCGTGATACAGAACGACCGGGATCTCAGGGCACCATTTCTCAAACTCATCCATCCAATTGGACAGTGTGCTCAGAGGGGCAACGATGAGATGAGGGCCGAGGTAGTCTTCCTCTCGGAGCTTGGCGATGAGTGAGATGGTTTGTACCGTCTTGCCTGTGAGATGTTAGCGTCTGGTCATATTCGCAGAAGCTGGATGTTGTCATATGTCAAAAGTGGAATGAGGCGACTTACCAAGGCCCATCTCATCGGCAAGAATTCCAGACATGCCTTGAAGGCACACCTCGTACATCCATGTCAAACCCTCGAGCTGGTAGTCTCTCATGGTTCCTCCCTTCATGATCTTCGGTTGCGCAGCCATGGTCAAATCGTGGGCTCCTAGAGTCTCTCCCTCCAAGCTAGAGCCAACTCGTCCCAGAACCTCGGTCTTCTTTGTCAAGATGTCCGAGAAGGCCGCCGACTTGGCGAGGAGGTCATCCAACTCTTTGGCCTTCTTTTCTCTCTCCTCCTTGGTGAATTCGACCTTCTTCTTCTTGCGGCGCTTGGCAAGAAGCGCGGCCTTGCGTTTCTTCTCGGCGGCATCGTTGGTCGCTCTGACTTTCTCTTCCTCATCGATCATGCGTTGAAAATCGCTGTCAATGGCTTCCACAGAGCCCTCTCTCGGGGGTGAGGACGGGGCGCTGGTGTATGGTCTCGAGGTTTTCGAGAGTACAGACTCAACGTCTGAACCGGGTGAAGAGCTCATGATCACCGAATTGCAGAAGCCTTTGCTGGCCGATTTGCAGGTGGTTGTTGCTCAAGAAAGAGGGAAAGGCAGGAAGTGCCAATCAAATCGATGACGAAGCTGCAGGTGCGACGCTAAATTGAGGTGGTTCGTGCGCTGCAGCGGCCGCGAATTCTGGCTCAAAACGCGGCAATTGAGGATACAATGAGCCAAAATTGAGGGAAATGAGGGTTGAAATGCAAGGATAAGAGGCTGGAGAGTGATCTCAGGTTGTGAGAGGTCAAATGGAAAGAAAGGGGGGCGAGGAAGAAAGATGAATGTCAGGAAGGTCCAGGGTCCTGTCAATGGGAAGGCGCGATCCCGGGGGCAAAATTCAGGACGCGCGCCGACGCGAGACAAAGGCGGAGTCATGTGACTCCGTGTCACTGAACTAATTAAGAACCCGGCCGCTTTGTCCAGGCACCATCGTCATTCATCGGGCCATCGGTGTCCGGGAAGATCGGGACAGAGATCGGGGTCTTGTTTACTGCATCGATTCAAAATGCAAAGCATCCCGGTGCCAATTGACCTCTACAAGATGTTGTTACTGGGCATTGAGACAAGACGACGAGCTTGAAAGCAGAAGCTCTTCCCATCAACAATACATCATCTCAATAGGCAACTGACAAAGAAGCAAGCTCAGCGCCTTCGCCATGATCCTTGTCCAGCCGAACTTGACTATCAGCAGGGGAGGGTGGTATTGAGAAATTTCTGCCGAAAAAGAAACGACTCTGGGGAGCGTACACCGAGGCTCACCGAGGAAGAGCGAGGTGAGTCGGACTTGCCTAACCAATCAGGCACGTCAGATGAATTTGGAGGGGCAGTCGCAGCGCCTGTCCGTGCTACCCCGCCAAAACCACACTAAAATTCTGTGATTCCTGACGGTACCCCTCCTCGCCCTTCGACTCATGAACTCCCTCCGCGTACTACGACCCATCACTCGCAGCGCATACCCCTTCCGCTTCGCAAGAATGGCTTCCAACACCTCCTTCACTCCTAACGAGGAGACCGAGATCCAGCAGTGGCTCACCACCGCCACCCGCCTGCAGCAGGCCACCGGTGACGATGCGTCCCCGATCCTCGACACCGTCAACTCCCACCTGAGCACCCGCACCACCCTCCTCGGTACCAAGCCCAGCAAGGCCGACACTGCTCTCTACTCCGCTGTCCGTCCTCTTGTCGCCAAGTGGTCTCCCGAGCAGCGCACCGGCGAAAAGGGCTACCCCAACATCGTCCGTCACCTCGACTTCGTCCAGAACTACCCCGCCTTCGCCGCCGATGTCAAGTCCGAGGAGAAGGTCTCCGTCAACCTCGATGAGGTTCTCTACGTGAAGCCTCCCGTCGACGCCAAGGCCGAGAAGGAGCGCCTCAAGAAGGAGAAGGCTGCTGCGGCCGCTGCTGCTGGTGGAAAGGAGACCGCTCTCCCCGACCGCACCAAGGAGCCCAAGGACAAGAGCGCTGGCGAGAAGGTCAAAGAGGCCGTCACCGAGGCCAAGGACAAGGTCAAGGCTGCTGTCGGCGCCGGCGAGGGCAAGCCTAAGAAGGAGAAGAAGGCCAAGGAGCCCAAGCCCCAGAAGGCCCCTGCTCCCGCTGCCCCTCTGTCTCCCGCTCTCATCGACCTCCGTGTCGGTCATATTCTCAAGGCTATCAAGCACCCCGAGGCCGACTCCCTCTACGTTTCCACCATCGCCATGGGCGACAAGCCCAACGACGACACCTCCGAGTACGAGGGTCAGGTCTGCCGTACTGTCTGCTCTGGTCTGAACGGTCTCGTTCCTCTCGAGGAGATGCAGGGTCGCAAGGTTATCGTCGTTGCCAACCTCAAGCCCGTCAAGATGCGCGGCATCAAGTCCTGCGCCATGGTTCTCGCCGCCTCCCCCAAGCTCAAGGAGGGTGAGGTCGATGACCACAAGGGCCCCGTCGAGCTTGCTGCTCCCCCTGCTGACGCCAAGGCTGGCGAGCGCGTCTTCTTCGAGGGCTGGAAGGGCGAGCCTGAGGGTGTTCTGAACCCCAAGAAGAAGATTTGGGAGATGTTCCAGCCTGGCTTCACCACCACCGACAACCTCGAGGTCGCCTTTGACGCCGCTGTTGTCAAGGAGCTTGGCAAGGAGGGTGTTGGCAGACTGGTCACCGAGTCTGGTGGTGTCTGCACTGTTCCCAGCTTGAAGGGTGCTACTGTCCGATAAGGGATGGGCTATTAATGTATTTGAAGATTCATGATAAACAAAAGTTATGGCAGCTGCGTCTGCTCTCTAAGAATTAGAGAAACCTGTTCCTTATACGCAGTCCGTGTCTACTTCCTTGTGTGTTTTTGGTGAACTGACTTGGCAAGCAGGAATGGGCAGTTGTTGCCTCTGTATGCTAATGACACCGACTATCCCCCATCGTGACTACCCAACATCATATGGCAACCCATGTAGAAAGTCCAGCCAGGCTCTTCCTTTGATACCAACCCCTTTCCCATGCTTTTCATCTTTGTCAACAACGTCAAACTTCCACCTCGCTCAACTCGACATCATCATCCGAACAGCAACATCCATCCATCATACACTCATTCATAACACATACATCTCTCAGCATCGCCATGGCTCCCTCATCAGCCCTAGAAAGATATATATGGCCAGCTTTCTATTGTAGTTGCGCTGGAGCTGGTTTCGTCATAATCCCACTTCTTTGTTGGCACATGAATGCTCAGTACGGGAGAAACGAGCGGAACAACAATTGGGACCCAGATACCGGCGAGCCCAGAGACGGACCACGCGTGGATCCTCAACGTCAAAGCCCCGATACTTGGATGGAATACTTTTTTGGCAACCTTTTTGGCAAGAAGGAGAACCCCTCTCCTCTTCCGCCTCGCCGACCTCAACCTGGACCACCTCCCGAATGCCCTCCTCGCCCGGATCCCGCGGATGTTCCAACTCCCGAGCAGCGTCAGTCTCAGCCTTCAGGCGTTCCCCCTGATTCTTCTACTCGTTCTCATCAACCTCCTCCTCTGCCTCCTTCTCCGACACTTCCACTTCACATTCCTCGAAATCTGTCTACTTACCCATGCCTCGATGTTGCTCGTCAAACACCGCTCCCTCCGTCTCGAAATCTGTCTCCGATCTCAGAGCGCTCATCCGCCCCTTCTACTCCGTCTCCGACTTTGTCCCCGAAACAGCCATCTACTCCTCCTCCTCCCTCGGCCTCGACTTTGTACCCAGAGCCTCCATGGGCTCTTCGGCAACAAGAACGGATTGGATTAACTCGCATTCCTCCCCAGTCACCAACTCCTGAACGCCCTCCTCGCCCGGATCCAGCGAACAATCCAAGTCCCGGGCAGCTTCAGTCTGGGCTTACCTCTGGCTCTTTTACTTGTCTTCGTCAAGAGGCTCCTAAGTCTTCTTCTCCGAAACTTCCACCCCATATTCCTGGAGATTGGGTTCGTGACCAAGTTCGTGACACACTAGATCGTCACCAACCTATATCTCGTCCTCCGTCTCGGGCTCTGTCTACTATCCCGGAACACCCATCCACTCCCACTTCTCCGTACCATTCTCCGTCTCGTTCCCCGGAGCTTCCACCTCTTCCTCAGCATCAGCAACAGGATCCTCCGACTCACATTCCTCCACGGACTCCGAACGTTGCTGGAGAAAACTCTGATTCGCCTAACCGCCCTGGGACCCCGCCACCCTCGAATACATCCTGGCAGCAAAACTCATCCTCGCCGGGGTCACCCACTCCCGGTGCTAGAAGAGCAAATCAGCAACGGAGTCGAGAGCGTCGCAGGCGGGTTGGAGGGCAAAGTCGGCGATGGAACGTGAGTTTGTGGTACTCTCACGTCTATATTCCAAGACTAACGACCGCATGAACTCTTCTAGCCCTATCCCCATCGCATCAATTCAATCGATCCCAATGATACGAATGCTGCATATTGGAGCGAAGAAGACTACTCAGAAGATGAGCCCGAGGAAGGTGACGACGAGGATATCAGGGATGAACCCAAGACGGATGATGACGGCGATGAGCCCACGACCGATGCGCCGGAAGATGAGCCTGGAACGGACGGTCCAGAAGAGGAGCCCAGAGAGGCTCAGGCCGGCCAAGATGTAGCATTCCAGCGCCGGCCCTCTGATGCTCGAAACGACCCACCCGAGATGCAACGAACTCGTTTCAGGTGAGGTTCAAAGACTTTCCCAGGAACAGTCTTGATATTCGACCCAGAATTACAGAGTTGGTCGAAAGGGCTAGACACCAGGTCTTGCCTAGGGACCGCATTCTGTATGCTTGGGTCGGGTACTGAAGGCCTGGATTGGCTTTTATGTGGGAGAGCGGATACTAAGTTTCGGACGTACAGTGTTGAATCATGTCACCTTTCTGGCGGCTCAGCGACATGCTTTGATAGTTAGAGGTGCAAGTAAGCGTTTGTTAGTATTGGATACCCATTATCAGCATAACGTTGGAACCAACGCAGAATCAATTACACCTTGAACAGCTGTGCATTATGACCATGTACTTTTATACATTCCAGTAACTTTTAGGATCCATCTAGGGTATGACCACACGCCTCAAATAAGCACGAAACAAGAGCCCTCCAACATCATCCTCTACTTCTTACCAGTCTTGGCCTTCCTCTTAACACTTGCAACAAGTCCGCTCAGCTCCGCGTCACCACCCTTGCTCTCCTTCTTCGCTTTCTTCCCGCTCCTCTCCGCAGGCACCTCGTCATCGCCGACCTTCCTCTTCTTCCTGCCCTCCTCAAGCAGCGTCTGCATCGCCTCGGTCTTCTTGAACTTGGGGTTGCTCGGGTCGATGGCGTACTCGTGGCTCTCGAAGACAGCCTTGAAGCGGTCGTCGTCCACGTTGATCTTGAAGCCCTCCTGCAGACCGACCTTGTCGTCGTCGTCGTCGCCGCCGGCCTTCTTGCCCTTCTTGTTCTTGCCCTTGCCCTTCTTCTTCTTCGCCTTCTCCGCCTTGAGGATCTCGTTCATGTCGAAGTGGTCCAGGTGCTCGCCCGCCTCGTCGCCGTCGTCGGCCATGAGCAGCTTCAGCTGCGCCTTCTGCGCGGCGGACGCCTTCTCCTCGGCCTCACGCGCCGCGCGCTTCGCGAGGCGCTCCTCCTTGCGGATCGACGTCTTGGTCTTCTTGGGCGGCTCCTCGGTCGTGAAGAAGGGGTCGTCGAAGCCGAGGTCCTCCTCGCCGGCGGCGGGTGCGGCCTCTTCGACCTCGACGTCTGACTCGGCGTCGACGGCCCCGCGCTTGGCCTTGGCGATCTCGCGCTTCTTCTCCTTGCGTTCGCGCTCCTTGCGCTTATACTTCTCGATCGTGGTCTCCTCCTCGCCCTCCTTCTTGTCCTTTTTGGTGTCTGTGAGCGCGGGCGTGAAGGTGATCTCCATGTCGCCTACGGGGGCGTCCTTGGACTTCTTCTCCTCCTCTGCACCGAGGCCGAGCATCGCTCGCATCTTGCGGCGCTGGAGCTCCTTCTTGGAAAGCTTGGGCTCCTCCTCCTTCTCTTCGGCCTTCTCTTCGGCCTCCTCTTCGCCCTCCTCCTCAAAGCCGGCAAGAGACTCTCCGTCATCTTCGCTGTCGCTGGCGAGGTACGCCTTAAGGTCGTTCTCCTCGAGCTGGGCGCGGCTGCCGGTGAAGGCGCGGTTGATGGACGCCTTGCGCGCCGCGTCGTCGGGGTTGACGTCCCATGTAAGCTTGACCTTGGAGTGCTGCAGCGCGTCGGTGGTGAACTCGACGGGCTTGTATCCCTCCGGCATCTTGTCGCACTCGTCCCGCGGCTCGTCGTCAAAGGTAACATCGTCGGGCACGAAGCGCAGGTCGAGGAAGTTGGATGAGGACTGGTACTCCGTGCCGTCGGTCGCCTCGTACACCTTCTGCGCGGTCGCCTTGTCGGAGCACGTCATGACGGCGTAGTAATACCTCAGCCGGTCGAGCTGGTACTTGCGCAGCGCGTCGCTGTCAAAGTCCTCGGCGTCGCCCTCCTCCAGCAGCTCCTTCTTGATCGCCTCGTCCTCCTCTTCCTCCTCGCTCTCCTCATCGCTGTCGCTCTTGAAAATCTCCTTCGGCGGGCCCTCGAGCTCTTCCCTCTGCATGCGCTCCTTGCCGAACTCGCTCGGGTAAATGGCCACCTTCTCGATCCGCCCGCCGGTCGATGGCAGGAAACTCGTAAACAGCGCAAAAAGATCCGCCGACTTGATGTTGTCCCAGTCGAGGTTGACAATCGCTATCCGCGTCGTGACCTCGCCGTCCTCGACCTCGGCCTGCTCGTCGCGCAGCCGCGACATGGACGCCTTCGGGTCCGCGACGACCTCCGCCTCCTCCTCGTCATCGTCGTCCGACGACTCCGATTCCGACTCGGATTCGCTGAAGCCGCCGCCACGCGCAGGGTCGTATTTGGCATCCGCCTTAGCCAGCTCGCGCTGCACCACGTCGTCGGCGTCGACCTCCATATCACCACCGTCCTCCTCTTCCTCATCCTCCTCCTCGTCGTCATCTTCCGCCTCGTAGAGCCGTTGCAGCGCCTTCTTCTTCGAGTCGGACTTGATCTTGCGGCCGTAGCGGTCGACCTTTGCGGTGGCCGTGAAGGCGTCGTCCTTCAGCACGCCGGCGAAGCGCTTGTCGATCTTGGTCTTTGTCTGCTTCTTCGAGGGCAGGCGGAAGCGCGGGTCGGTCTCGAAGCTGGAGAACCGCGAGTCGGTGATCTTGCCATTCTTACTTGATTTTGACATGGTGGCGGTGTTTGGGGGTGTGTGGTCGTGTGGTCGTCAATTGACGGTGGCTGTTGGGAGAAGAGGACCGGGTTTTGGTCGCGGGCGCATGGGAAAAATCCATGTGGGGTGCGAGCGACGGTCAATTTTTTAGTGGAGATTCTGCGTTCTGCCGAAGGCGGTGTAGGCTGACCGTGCTCACCGAAGGATACACCGAAACATCACCAGCTTCGAGTCACTAGCCGCCTCATCTGAGAACTAAGGACTGAGCAAGATAAAGTCAAAAGTCATTTTCCCATGTTGAAAATTTACATCAGGTCATTGCACGAAGATATCAATGCAATTGCCTCGACCAGCCAGGAAGGCACAGCTCATTCGTCTTTGATGCCTTCCTTGTGATTATCATACTTAATACCTAGGTCTCTCCCACTTTAAAAGTCTGGAGATAAGGAAGGATTGAGAAGCATCCGGCTCCCTGTTTCTTTCCCATCTTGGGCAATAATACCTCAGCCCCACTCTTCAACTACAGAGCCCTTATTTAAGCGATGGTCCTGCTTGTCCATCCGTCCCTGCTTCTTCCCCCAAGACATCGCAAACTTGTTGGCCTTCAACCTATCTACACACTACTTACATTTGAATTCTATCTGCTCTCTGGTTGTGGTTATCTGGAAGGACCAGACTTGCTCCGCTGACCATTCAAGCGTGGCCGCCTTAGAGACATCAAGCTGGCTTTGCCCCTTCCCAAACTCCCAGAGGCTCGCGACTTCTCCAACACACATCAGCTCCTTCCAATTACCACATTCTACGGACTATTTAGTCTCCATCTCAGATCCTTCTGTTTCCAACTCAACTCAGACCTCCACAACCTCAACAACTCACCATCTTCCGACCACTTTCTCACCCTCGCCTTTCACAAACCATCGCAAATTAGCCTGGTGTCAACAGACGCCTCCATCACACTACCTCCGTCTCATCTATGACTCGCCTTGCCCTTTCAATCTTTTCTATGTTGGCTAACAACTTCATCCACTAAGCATCGGGCAAGCCTTCCTCCCCAATCTCTTCACATTCCACCCTACTTCTTGCCATCTTTAGAGGCGAAACACTTCACCTTCACAGATTTTATCTCGTCAACCAGATCAATTTTGCGTCCGAGTTGACTTTCCTCACGCGTTTTCAAATCATCCAGTTGCTGCAACACACAACTGACATTCAATTCCACCACAAACACATCTTCATTCTCCCTTCATAAATCCCTCACTCATCCTCCTATACTCCGTCTTCATTATGAACAGCCTCAGCTCAGATGCAATTTCATCTGCTCTTGAAGGTCGTGTGGATCAACTCCCCAACTCAAGTCCGGAGTCAGACAACTCATTCAACGATGATTTCCACCTCCTTCAGCAGTTACAGGATTTTGACCCCACTCAAGAAACGATTCTTGGCGCTGAGACATCTCACAATCTTCACATAGCACCTTCAGACACAGCTCAATGTGAAGTTACGAACGAAACTCACAGTGACAGCCCAGAGCACGAGACTTCCAGCACCGAGGATGAAGATTCATCAGACTCGGAGCCAGAACTAGATGCGCCATCAGACTCAGAGCCGGAACCGAGTGCGGACCCGATGGACGTAGACTTTGAGCCCGCCAAGGACGTGAAAGATGAATCGCCGAAGCCTCGCAACAAGCCCACAAGAAAGAGAGCAACAAGCGCTGGGGTCGCAAAGACTGCCCAACAGAAAGTTAGGAAGAACCAGAGAAAGCTCGACGAAGAATTCAAGATTTACATCAAAAACGACCGGAAGAGGAAACAGGGCGCTGGAAATGGCAATGTGCACATCGAGCCGCCTAAGGCAAAGAAGATGAGGACATCATCTGCAAAGTCAGACAAGAAAGATCAGCGAAGCATCGAAGAGAACTTTCATGACACCGGCAAAACAACTGCTCGCGCCACAGCCAACCGATCAATCACTCAAAAAGAAAGAAATGAGGAACTGAAGGACAGAATCAGTCACGGCACGAACAACCGCCGAAGTGGAACTCAAAAGCGAGATCTCAAAGAGGCCACTAGTATCTTCGGATACAGCAAAGTTGTTTGCTTCCTCAACGGAGAGTACTACCTCAAGGGAATGAGGGAGACCACCAAGCTCAGAGAGGAGCAACTTCCCGCCGTCTCATGGATGGTCCAGCGGGAGCACGGTATATCGCCTCCTTTTGGAGGAGTTCTCGGGGACGATGTTGGTCTCGGAAAGACAATGGTGTCCATGGCTTGCACCGTGGGGAATCCTGCGTCGGCTGAAGACCTTCAAACCTACTTCGGTGCCACTTTGATCATTGTGCCGTCAACTGACATGGCTAAGCAATGGCGAGCAGAGTATCTCAAGCATGTTGAAGCCATCAGAGACAATGAGATTCTCATCTGGTCCAACGCTCAATGGAAGGAGTCAAGCGTGAACTTTCACAACTACAAGATTGTGTAAGTGACCTCGGCAGAACGAATTGAAAGCCCGGCTTGCTAACATTCATGTCAGGATCGCCACGATTACTGAGATTCGTGGAAACCTCACAGACGAAGAGCTGAAGAAGATTGAAGCGGAACACGGCATGGAAAGTGATGAGTATCGAGCTGCGCTAGTCAAGTTTGCCGGCCCAGTTTACGGCATCAAGTGGTACAGGATCATTCTTGATGAGGGGCACGCTGTCAAGAACATGAATACCCTATGTGAGTTGCCACATGAGGAGAGGTGATAAACTCTCGCTGACATATTGGCAGCTTTCAAAGCATGTTACGGCCTCCAACGCAAAAGCTTTTGGGTTCTCACCGCAACTCCCCTGGTAGACAGAGAGACAGGTTTGTACCAGCTCACCAGTTTTATGGGCATTATTCATGCTAATTGGGTGTTCAGAAATCTTTCCGTACCTCAGGCTCGTGGGAGTCGAGGGCATCAACACCTACCAAGACTTCAAGGACAGATACCTTGAATCTGTAAGTAGCATTCAATCCTCACCAATCATTTAGTAGATTAATTTTTGACTCTTTTCAAGTATGACTGCGATACCAAAATGGACGCCTTGATCCATTTGGTGACATACCGGAGGTGAGACACACATTTTTTCACTCATTTGGTGTCTGTGGGTGCTGACTTACAATTTTCAGAACGAAGAAGGATAAGTTCCTTGGCCGGTTAATCACGGGAGATCTGCCTGAGTTCAAATCCAAAGAGGTGTGGGTCAATCTCAGCAGACATGAGCGTATGATCTACGAGTAAGTTTGGAACCTGCGCTTATCATTACTGGGGCTCATATGTGACATGTCTTAAGCCTCATCACAGAACACTACGATGCTCTCGAAAAGCGGGAAGGACTCAGCCGGATAAACTGTCATCGCATGATGATTTCTCATGCTTGGAATATCGAGGGTGTCTTCAGAGATGATCTCAACCCTGCATTCTTGACGAATCTGAGAGACGGGCTCGAGGAATTGGCGGCCGACCCCTCCGCCATCCCCCAAACCAGGAAGCTCCTTCACGCAGCTCCACCCAATGACCAAGACTCGGAACTCTTCGTCACTCAAGAGCCAACGGTGGGAAATAGCTCTGCCAAGTCGCAGGATACCAAGACAAAGAGAAAGAAGAAGAGATCGAAGAAGACAGAGGAGAAGAAGTCGACCAAACCAAAGGAAGACAGGATTTTTCATACCGATTCGACAGACAAGACACTCGGCATGGAAAATCTCCTGAAATATACCATCAACGAGCAGATGGTGGACGAAGGTTGCACGAAGTGCGAGAAGACGTCAATCGACAAGCCCTGGATCATTTCCCAGGTAAGTTCATGATCATCCGTCCTGCATCATCTTTACAATCCAGAACCTCACTGATCAATCTTTCCAGTGTCAGCACTTATTTTGTCATGAATGTCTTTCCGAGGACTGGAGAGAGGCAGGCGAAACAAAATGCACAACGTGTGACCAGCCATACGACCGAAAAACAGATGCAAGGCTGGTTGAGAATCTGTCTACCAAGGAGACAGAGTACGCTGAGGATGACAGGGTGAGAGCACTTAAGGAAGCAGAATCCGCACCTCCCACCGTGACTCCCACAAAGAGAACACCGAAGAAATCGAAGAGGCAGAAGCAGCTCAGTGCCAGAGAGGAGAAGAAGATCGTCGCGGACTTCACCAAGAAGAAGTACGGCGGCGATTATCGCGGTGTCTTCTTGGATCTGAAGGGCAAGGATAACGCATTCATCAACATTGGAGTTCACGAGGCAGACGGTATGATTCCGCTCAGCTCCAAGACTGCGTGTGCCATGGACTACGTCCTCCAATTTCAGAGCGAAGCGCCCAAAGACAAGATAATAGGTACAGTAACGGTCTTCATTTGTCTCAGAACCTGGGACATTAAATGCTAATGAAGCTACTTACGGCAGTTTTCCACGAGTTCCTGAAGACCGCGAAGATCCTTGGCATCGCTTTGCGTCAGTATGACATCCCCTTCTACTACTTCAATGGCGAAATGTCCGCCAAGAGTAGAGAAGATGCCATTACCTCTTTCAAAAACAACCCAAGCATCAAAGTCCTGGTAAGTTCCCCATTGCACGTTCTTCAGTCTCCCTCCACCCGTGTGAAAAGAACCTGAGCTAACTCTCCACCACCAACAGCTCGCGTCCAAGGTCGGCAAGGAAGGCCTGAACCTGACCTGCGCCAACCGCATCATCAACATCGATAACTGGTGGAACAAGGCTGCCCAGCAGCAGATCTTCGGCCGCATCGACCGCACGGGCCAGACCAAGAAGATGTACGCCGTCGTCATCAGAGCCGCCGACACCATCGACGAGCACATCGACGACTTGCAGGAGACCAAGGCCGAGAAGGTGGCGCACAGAATGCAGGATGACCGGCACGAGACGAAACTCATGTCGTACTGGGAGGTAATGATGCACACGGCGCCCATGGCGTACCAGGCCAAGTGCGCGCAGCTAATTAAGGAGATCGACGAGGAGGAGGCCAGCGAGGACGAGGAAGAGGATGCTGCGGAGGCTGCACCGGGGGCGAGGCTTTGGGTAAAGGTCTGATTTTCGCGCTGCATTTTTGGTTTGATTTGGCATTTCATCGCGGGACATGGAAGCATTCTCATAATTTGGTGGAGCAAGGTAGCTTCACCCGTCTGGGGGAACATTTCCAACAGGCCTTTATGCGGAGTTTTGGTCCGCAATCGCAGGAAGCAACCTTCATAAAACAACACAGCGAAACATTGATTTTTATATACATCTATTTCCCAATTCATCTGCAAGGGTTTTGACATCCAGGCGGGTACCTAGTGGAAGTAAATGAGAATGAGCCCAACCAGGATAATGACGGTAATAACAACAACGACGATCATGACGATAACGGTATGAACAACAAGAGTGAACGATAACAGCAACGAAAAGGACAGCAACGAAGAGGATAGCAACATCTCCAAAAGCAATCAACCGCGGCAAAGAGCAAGTGGCGGCGAGCAAAAGCGCCGTCGCGGCAGAGCCCCCGATGCAGCATCAAGATTCACGCGTCGGCGCAACCCTTTTCTCGGGCCGCGTTTCCGCCAAAAGTGTGAACGAGATCTAGATAAATCTCCGAGGTTGCCAATGTCTGCGACGGGAATGACATCAACGTACAGCAGGTCTGTGGAATATCGCAACACCTGGACGATTGAAAGGGAGAAATACTGCACGGTTCGGCATGTTGATGGTCCCGCTGGAACATGGGTAGATCACACATCAGTGGGGCGGCAGATCGTCGCTGTCTTTTTACCTTTTCTCTGGGTAAGGTCAGAAGGAAGAGGCCGAGGATGATGGACGTGTGGCGGGTTCCATATCTGCCGGAGTCGAGTCCGGGGAGCTTTGATTTGCTTCTAGACGTAGCGCATAAGAAGAGGAAAAAGGTGTTGAAAAGATCCGTGACAGATCATCTGATGTCGCTGTGTTCTTTGCGGGACCCCAGGCGTTTGCCGCGGCTCTCTTCCCTCAGAGGTGGACTGCTGGGTTAAATATGAAACTATTGACGTAGGAGTCTAGACTCGCTTTCGACTCGGAGTCAGCACCCACCGTGTTCATTGGTAGCCTTGGAGTTGTTCGTCTGAATATTCCGGGAGACGTGACTGCTCGGCGAGCGGCCCGAGCAGACCTACCATCATGCATTGTCACTTACCATTTTCATGGCATATGGCGAACGCGCTTTCGAGATGAGCAACCTCATCCAAGAGTATTGCCTCTGAGTCAGAGTATCGGAGAGGTGTCTGTCTTGTTGGGTTGGAGTGACACCGCCAGACATTTTCTCCTCAAATGACAATGGTTAGTTTCCGCTTTGTGCCATCCATGTCATAGCTCCAGAGTCATAAGACCCTCGGCTGAGTTCAGCCAAGGTGCGTAGGGTCCTGATCGAGTACTACTAGAAGCAAAGATATATCGGCTTCGCAAAAGGATGCGCGGGGTTTTCATTCCGTCCCATGCAGCTCAGCCCGTGAACGCCGGGCGCAAAGTGAGAATTGAGAGATATGCGAGGGACCCGAGGATGTCGTTCGAAACAAATGCCTAAATCAGGCTGGTCAACATACCATCCAGTATCGTCCTTTCTCTAGATGTCAAGGTATCTTAGATGCACGCCATGTGGACCACAAAAAGGCGGCTTTGTTCCTAGCAACGTTGAGGACCTGTCCAAGCTTGCTTACTTTCTGATTTTTGCTTGTCAAGGAAGGTCTTATTGTAGAACAACGTGTGGGGGTTGATTTCCGCTTGCGGCGGGCGGCTTTAAACTCTTCAACCCGCCGCGGACTCCACGGGGACCAGACGCAGGCGATGGCCATGACTGGCCCGAGAAGCCCGCATCTGGGGGTGCACTGCCACAGCTCCCGGCATGTAGGTGAGACCTTGAATTTCAAGCCATCCAGACACATGGCTTGCGCAGGTCGGCTTGGAGCGCCTTGACGACTCTAATGAACCGCGCCCATCTTGGTGAGGGTTCGTATCGTGCAAGGACAGCCTACATGGAGGAAAATCGGGCTTTGTCGATGTCTTACAAGTGAGCGGCAACTGCCGTGGCTCTTGTCTGGAATATGGTTGTCTCTGCTATGTAGATGAATGTGTTAGCAAAAGGCTTGCCTGGACCTTGCGCTAGACGTCCACAGGGATCGACAAGCCCGTCCGAGGCACGAGAACAAGTACAATGAGGCACAAAGTTGTCTGGTCTCGGAAGGAAAGGATAGCAGTTGGATAATCCTTGTATGTATGCGACAGGCTTGCAAACCCACCTCGTGATGTGGGAGGAAGCCATCATCTGAAAGGTGGGATGAGGAGCCGAGCAACGGTTTTCTAAAACATAGTCAGGCAGGGACAGCTTGGACGTCAAAGAAAGTGATCTGCTGGCTGAGGTAATAGAGATGGAGCGGGTATCTAGGCCTTTTGCTCGAGTGGGCTGGCAAAGGCCAAGGGACCGGCTTTAATGGGCAAGTAGCCCGCTCGCAGAGTCGATGGGGTTTGACGACCGTGCGACGATCATCTCGGTCTCGGTTTTCGGTGGCCAAATTCGAGCGGAGGAGGGCACGGTCAGTGGAGATGGGGATCGGAGAGCGACGACGATCTGCGTGCGAAGCAATGTGGAGGAAGGGCAGCCGATCGGTTCGGATGAAAGGTGGCTCGCGGAGCCGATGGTAGCGCCAGTTGGTGCGTTGAGGTGGCGCCACGGGCAACATGGCCTGCAAAGGGGTCAGCAATGCAGAGATTTAAGCCGGTGTCGTGAGAGGCTTCACTTTCATACCGGTAATCTCCATTCTAAATAGCCCGATTACCCGGGTGAGATGATGAAAAATGTTGGTGGTAGTTGTGGAGGTGTTGGTGGCAGCTGAAAGCAGATAAAGTTCGTAGAGGCTGCTTGGATCTCGATTGAAAATAGGGATTGAGGGGACCCAAACATGCCAAGTCGAGGGCTGGGCTCACCAGGCGGATGGGTGGGATGGACAGTTTGAGACTGACTGACCAGTGACTGGTAAGGAAATCCCGTCCATCCAATTGTCTGGTTGCCATCCTCGATGATACTTGCGTCCCAATCTAAAGGTTAAGCTTTGGAGCTGCGACTGGGTTGGCACGGCTCGCGGGAGGCGCGAAGTGCGATCAGCCAATCAGTGATGGTACGCAACCGAGATTGAGAGCAACTTCGGCAGATGTCGTCAGTCGAGTCGGCAGGGGGTCCCTTACCACCAAGGGGTGTTGCGAGGATGTTTGGTGGTTGTAGAGGAGATGCTCGAACACGAACGACGGGAGGCCGGGAGGTAACGATCAAATTAACCCATCAAAAGGGCGGAGGGAGACTGGGAGAGAGCCCGGGCATAAGGTATGCGCTGCACCCGCACCTCCCGGTCCTTGTCCTTGCCGTGTCGAATGCTTGCGCTGGACTGAACAGCAGCTATGTACGTAGTTTGTACCCGCAGCTTGTATTCGTAGGGCAGGACGGCTGCTGAACTGCTCTGGCAGCGACGGTAGCACGGTAGGTAGACAGACCGTGGGAAGCTGACACAGCCCACATCCCGCAGGTCACGGCCCACGAACAAGCTGGGTGTTGCGGCAACATTGCCCAGATACGTTAAGGGCCGTCTGTTCCTTCCCGTGGCTGATGACGCGTGTTACCTCAAGTGGAAAATGGCACCTGAGGTCAGACCTGCTTCGTCTGAAAGGCGCAGAGTAAGGCAAGAGTAGTAGCGGTGATGGTCAGTAGAGCAAGTCAGACCGACGCAGGCATTTGGGTTAATTTTGGAACGCAAGAATTTCCGAGCCCTAAGACCGAATACGGACTGCAGGCCGCGCTGGCTGCAGGCGAAGCGGGCAAAAAGGGCAAACCTTAAAGTGCGCCGAGATGCCAACGACTGCCGACGACGCGGAGTGTTCAGGTTCGTATGGAAATAGAGCGCAACGAAATGGAGGCGTCTCGGCTCGGTTTTGGTGAACGCAATGCGTATGTTGGCATCTCGAGGCAAGGTCGAACGATCCGCAGCGTCTGGGTAGCGTCGCATACCGATCCCGGCGGTGCCGAGAATCCAGATGAGGGCTGCGGACACGCTGGGAGACTCGAGGCTCGATAGCGCGAAAGCCATTTCTGTGCTTGTGAATGCTCAATATCGAGGGCCTCGAGGCACCACACGGAGGGCAGGCATGGCACTGCGGTGGTTGTGCAAGGAGTGAAAGGGCCGTACGCCAGAGGAGCAGAAAGCCGCATTTTCCGTCTCTCGTTTCCCAATGGCGTCGAGACCTGTCTCATGCTTGCCAGCAGTGGTCGACCGGCTGCGGTTGCCAGAGATTGCAGAAGAGGGCGATCCAACCCAGATCCAGGTCGAGTCCAATGAGAGACGAAATTAGGGGTCGCGTTTCCTAGGATTGCTGGCTGGAAAGGGGAATGCGGTCCCGAGTGCCGCGACAAGAAAAAGGAAATACGGACGTAGCCCTGTTTCCAGACGCAGGGAACGGCGCTCGCTATCAGACAGCGCGTGATTTCTCCTTGACGAGAGGTTCGTGATTCTGCCGATCCACCGAGTTGCGGCTGCTGTGGTTGATTGAAGCTGCTGAAGGCAGACCGCCAAGTCGCTAGGCAATTGATTAGCGGTGCCAGTGGATGGATGCATTTGATTAGGTAGGTACCTAGGTAGGTATGTTGATGCTGAGGAGGTCCGGTGCCAACGGCCACGAGGGAAATGGCGGCGTTTCACCGCTCCCAGTTGCTATGAGGAAGGAGGCCATCTTCTACCCTTTAAGCCTAGCTACATCCAATTTATAGAGGTTTACGCTACACTATAAAAATTCTATTTATACTTTAATGGATATTTACTATATATTATAATACCATTTATAATAACTAGGAAAACTTTAATCTAAGTTTATAAGAATATTATTAATAATTTTAATAGTTTATAGATAACTTATTATATAAAATTATATAAAAAAAATATTTATTTTTCTTTTATTTAGTAGCTATCTCCAGTTAAATTAACTTCTTATAATTGAATATATTAAAATATTTATTATTAAATTAATAAATTAAAAAGCAAAATAGAAAGTTAATTTTATTATTTTTATAAAAAAATATAAGTAAAAGTTTTAAAATAATATTTATACTATAAGTTTTAATATTAAATTTTTAAATAAATCTAAAAATAGATATTACTACTAAATATTTATTTACTAAATTATTATATATTTCTTCTCTAAATTTAGTAGTATTAAAAATACTAATATTTATAAATAGAACAAAAAAAATTGTAAGAAGTTTACATATAATAAAAAAATAGAAAAAGTTTAGAATAAATTTAATAAACTAAATAAATTTAAAGAATATAAAAATAAAGTAATTATAATAATTACTATAATCCTCTTTAACTATTAAAGCTAAGAGAAATAAAAAAAGAAAGGAAAGGGGAAGGGAAGGGAAAAAGGAAGGGGGTAGTTATAAAAGTAGCTTACGTACTAGTAGCGTTTCTAAAAAGTACACTTTATTATACTACATCACTTCACAGTGAAGGAAGGAGGCTATCCTCGCACTCCCATTGCCGGAGGAGACATGAAGGCTCTAAGGTGAGATGCGCAAAGGGCGGCGCGCTAACGGACGTAAGGACGGTGAAGGTACGTACCATGCGTGGTGTTTCTGTCGTTCCTGGTGGCAGGTAGTTAGTTGGTCGACGTTTTTGCCCAAGTGAGGTTGGTTCAAGTTGATTCGCTCCTTCGCAAGCTGAGGGATGACAGATGGGTGATGCGAGTCGATGCCTATTGACTCTTTCCTGGCTCGTGCTCTCGCACTTGCAGCGGCTGGCTGCAACGCCTGGGCCAACTGCCGTACCAGACAAGTGGGCAAAAAGAGTCAGAAGGCAGGTGCACTTACCTCACCTTACCTGCCTGCCCGGTAGGTAAGGTAAGGTAAGCAGCAGGTGCACACGGGCACAGGGCAGGATGTGGCAGTGGCAGCAGTCGTATGGCAGTTGCAGGAAGGAGAAGAGAACCGGAGGCAGGTGCGTCCCATGCAAGCGGTTGCTCTGTGCGGCAGCCGTTGCAGGCGCATCCCAGGATGGAAAGAAACGGAGATTCAAACTTTCACCTCTTTCTGGCGCCAAGGTTCAGTGTTCACTCCTTCGTGAGTTGTATTCAATCCAAGTAAGCCGGACATTGATGGGCAAAGTAAGCAACCGCAGCCTGCTTGGGACACGGAGGAGGCGGATGCCGCGGTGCCGTACCAACAGACGGGCAGGAAGGAAGGTGAGGTGCATTGGATCTCATCTGCGACTGCTACTGCCTGCTACAGGTGCCGCTGCAGGAGCTATCTCCGCCGTACCTACCTAACCGACCCTGCCCTGCCCTGCCCTGCCTGCCTTCCCCGGACTTATCTCAGCTCGCTTGGTGGTCCTAGCTTTGGCACTCCACTTGCTTTCCCAATCGATCGTGCTGATGAGATCCTCTCTCTCACCTTCCTTCCTCTTCGCGTGCTGTCCTGAACAGTTTCGCCGGGTGCTCCCTGACAATCATTCGGAATCCGGCTCCTTCATTCCATCTCTCACACACAGAGACCCGTGGACGCTCTCCCGTCTTGAGGTGGCGTTGACGCTCCATCACTATCCGCATCAACAACAACACATAGCCTTTTGCCAAAGTCTTGGTCAGTTCACTTACACTCCCTCGGCGGCGCCCAAAGCTCCTCTCTCATCCGCCAAGTCACCAAAAACAGACACGACTTCACACTCCCCCCAACCCAAGCGCGAACTCGGCCATTTCGAACAGACTCCGGGCAGACTCGTGGGGGATTTGATGAGATAATCATTCAGCCAGGCCCTTTAAGCGCATCTGCTTGCCGGTTTCGTCCATTCACTGTCGACCACGTCCACGTCACCTCCACTTGGATGACCGTCCCTGCGCACCCGTCCAAGCCACACCACCTGCTGATGCTCGTGGCCCTGGCATTGGTTGGTCACCACCGACAGTTGCCTCATTCGCTCCAATGTCGTTGCTCGCCCAACTCGCAGCGTTCCGCCGTTGGTTTGGCCCATCTCATTGACTTATCCCGCACAAACTACTTTATGCATATCCATAAAGTCCCGCTTGGGCCTTGCTTGTGCTGCGACCTGGCCAAATGACCTGGAGCAGGTGGTAGCAGCCCTCCTCGAGGCTGGCAACTTGTTGACCGGCAGACAAATTGCTCGCAGGAAGAGGCAGAGGCGGCCAAAAGGTACGTAGCCCCTTCACTTTCCACCCAGGGGAGCACAAGTCTTGTGCTCCTCTCCAACCTGCGATTCAGAATTTCAGAGGGAGCACCGGCACGCACCAACAACTCAAGACACCATCTCACCTCACCCATCATCATGGCCACCATTCCCGTGCCCCCCAATCTCACTACCCGTACACAAATCCCCAAAAGACCCCTTCCCCACCACATATGCCGGCACTCTGTGCGCCCACCTATCCGCACCCGCAATGTACAACGAATACACACCTCTGGTATTACCCTGCTCTGATCATGTTCATCTTTCAGCGCTGTTCCCGGACAAAGAGATGCCTCAAAGCCCACTGACGAACATGCCGCAAGCATGGATCGGATGCGGCCCCTGGCACCCCCATCTTCACCATCATTGCGCCAACGGCCGTGACAGTCCTGTTTGACACCGTTTCCAGCGAGACCCTCGAATGCCGCCAGAGACAAGGAAGATACCTACACCGACGTCGTTGGCGATCTTGGGGTTTGACACATCATACCCTGCCGAGTATCAACCCAAGCCCTCCAAGCCCTTCTTCAGGTCCGTCGACGCAAGGCATGTCACCGCTCTCCCTTCTCCCTCCTCACCGGATGAAGTACCGAGTTCCAACAAACAAACAAACCTTGGCCGCCTACCTAAGGTACACTACGTTCCGTTCTTGTTGGCGCTGGTCCTCCTCACCATCCGTCACCTGTCTCGCTTTGCCGAATCTAAACATGGCCTCGCCTAGAGGTTTGCTGATGTCCCGGCACCTAATCGGCACCCGTCTGTCCAACTGCTACCTACTGCACTTCCATGCACCTGCACCTGCACCTCGCGCCCTCAGTCGCGTGCATAGGCAACGCCGGCATAATCCTGCTGTCGGCACCTCTCCGCCCAATACACACAACATGCACTGCACCACAAGACCGCTCGAGGACGAAGCACAAGACTTGCACCATCGTCATCGTCAGTCCACGGGGGATCCCCCGTGAGCTCGGCCGCTGCGAGCGCAGCGCTCACCATAGCTTCCCATCCCATCAGCCCCCAATATCGAGAACAATAGCAGGGCAATGGATAGATAATTGCTTTTGTTCCTGCCCTGGCGCCTAGTAACCGAGGCCAGTCCCGCCTAGCCCGTCCCCTGTGCCGCCTCCTTTACACTTCCACCACCACAAGGAAAATGTGATGCGCTCACTCAGGTGGCTGTCTCTGTCTTGTCTCTCGCCTGTTACTGGGCTGAATTGCTCGCTCCATTCAATCAACGAGGAACGAGACGGGGCCTGCTCCGTACCAACACAAGCAATCGACCCCCTCTCATACACCCTCCCCCCCGGCACAGACTTGACCGCCAGCCACCCACACTCTCCCAAACACTGACACTAGACGCTTTTCAATGGCTCTAACCCAGGCCAAACTCAACGCATCCTCGCTCGACAAACACCCGCGCCGCATCCCACGCCCCCCATCACACGATCGACGCACAAACACACAGACGCACACACCGCACCAGATGCCTATTTGCCCCTGGCTGCTCATTCATTGGCCAAGTCGACTTCTGCCCAAAAGCCTCAAACCACGACGCTAACAGCCTGTCTTTGCTTTTTCGAGTGTATCCGCTTCCCGTCTCTCCTATTCGTACTGCATTGTCTCGCCTGCGTCCGTTGCTTTTTAAGCTTCTGTCGCCCTTTCTGAACAGTAATCCGATGCCTGCTGGAGGACGGACTTCAATTTCCACGCCTGCGTTGCTGCCAGAGCTGAAGACGCGGACAGAGGTTAGGCGCTTGTATTCCCATGCACCGCCATTTCTTATATCCGCCATCATCCCTTCCCTTTCAACTTCGCCCACCCTCCGGTTCCCAAAGAGAAAACTCCCACATCTATCG